TTTAGCTACTCCAACTAGTCTAGCTGCTCTAACTGCTCCAGCAACTTTAGCTGTTCCAGCGACTCCAACTGTTTTAGCAGCTCCAGCAGCACGACCTGCTCTAGCTGCTCCAACTGTTCCAGCTGCACCAACTGTTCTAGCTGCCCCAACTGTTCTAGCTGCTCGTACTGTTCCAGCGGCTGTAGCTGTTTCAGCGGCTCGAACTGTTTTAGCTGCTCCAGCTGCACGACCTGTTCTAGCTGCTTCAACTGTACCAGCGACTTTAACTGCTCCTGCGGCTCCAACTGTTCGAGCTGCGCGTACTGCTCCAACGGCTGTAGCTGTTCCAGCGGCTTTAACTGTTCCAACTGCCTCAACTGTTCTAGCTGCTCGTACTGCTCCTGCGGCTCCAACTGCTCCAGCAACTTTAGCTGCTCCAGTGGCTTTAGCTGCTCCCGCGGCTCCAACTGTTCCAGCTGCTCGAACTGCTCTAGCTGCTCCAGCTGTCATTGCAGACATGACGCCGCCTAACGCCTTGCCCAAGCTATGGCCGATGGACGTGCACAAAAACAAGACTATGTTGTCCTCAAAGGGAGCCGTATCGATAACAATGCCCAATCTGACACCATCAACGTTTGCTCAGATGCCACCTAAAAAAATTTGCGGAAATACGGCTACGTCCGGCGCCTTCATGAGCAGCAGCAGCAGCAGCATGACCAAGTCGGTAGCTCCGTCGTCAACACCAATGCCCAGCATAAACATCAGCAGCAGTGCATCAAGAGTGAGCACGCGCATTGAACCAACTTGGGTGCCCCCCTTGGTGCCCAGCAACGCACCGAAAATACCCTGTACTTCATCAGGAGTACGCGTCACTATGGCTGATTCAGTGCCGCCGTCGACTTCATCCATGTTCATCAGTGGCGTCAGCATTGCCAGCAGAGTGAGCACAGAACCATCTGATGTTCCCCCCTTGGTGCCCAGCAAAGCGCCCAGAATTCCAAGCAAACCGAAAGTGGACGTCAGTGTGGAGAAGACAGTGCCGCCATCGCAGTCATCGATGCCCAGCAATGTTGTTAATGTACCCGTCAGCTCATCAAGAGCGAGAGCAGAACCATCCGATGTTCCCCCCTTGGTGCCCAGCAACACCCCCAAGATACCCAGAAGTCCAAAAGTGGCCAAGACTAACCCGCCGTCCCCCTCAACGATGCTCAGCAATGCCATCAGATCTGGAGTTTCAGCCTCGGTGTCCAGCGTGAGCACCAACAGCACGGCTAAGGTGGCTTCGGTGTCCCGCAACGCCAGTGAAATAACTGCATGCCCATCAAATTTGACGCCGTCGGAAGCTGAAATGAAGGTTGAGATACGCAACCATCCGACTATGGGACCCATCATCTATGCCGAGGGTCCCGCCGTACCCTTTCTACCCAATCTGACCATGGCACGCACTGCATTCTTTATCCGCGAGGTGATGGCCATACCGCAACTGCACAGCACGGTGCCCGATGTGATGCTCAAAAGCTCCATATACTGGCAGCATATATCCAAAAAGTTTCACATGCCAGGCAAGTGTTAATAATGGGTATACTTTAGTCGAGCATTCTTCATTTAAAGCTATTCTCATAACCATTGAAGCCATAGAAAATGGGAAGAGGCAGCAAGAGGCATTTGAAACGAACTGAGTCGATTTAGTAATGTCCGCCTAACCCTTTATAGGATCGCCAAGCTCTCGTTAACTACAAAAGCTATATACTTTTAATTTCGAACCTATAATCTTGTTTAGCATACGCAGAACGAGATAATTATGTTTTCTCGATAACTCATCCCATTTCCTAATTATCGATAAATCTCGATCATTATACTTCGTCCTTTAAGCTTGGCTGGTTTCAATTTGCTTTATGTGTGTGTACAGTGAATACAAAATACGAATTTTGGATGTATGCTAAGATAAATGGATATGATATAATACTAATGTACTTGTGTGTCCATTGCAGAGCAAATGTGTCGCGGCATATGGCGCTTCTTGGTGGCGAACATTAGTCTGTTTCCGGAGATCGCGCCCATGTCGAATCTGATGAGTCCATTCAAGGGGAGCCTGAAGGTGTGGGAGAAGTCGCATCGATTGTTCAGTAAATTTGATGAGATCGCACGTAAATATGACTGGATGCAGCACAAAGACAAGCTGCCGGCCCTGATGCATTTCCTCGGCGGGTATGAGCATCTCTACTGGGATCTGCGACGCCCACGGCCGGGAGAGGATAGTCGGGCAGTACAGCAGCCGCCAAGCTCACATACCGAACAGGAGCGGCAGGAGGTGTGGCAATTGGCACGCGAACGTTTTCCACACAGTGAGTGGCACAGAGATTGAGCAAGCCAGGCCAGGATTGAATTTGTATTATTATTATAATTCATGTCTTCTCTTTGTTTAGTAAATCATCGCGATGTTTGGGCCATGTTTAAGTTTGCCTTCAAAACGTATATGGTGGACTTGGAGCGTGGCATTGAGAATCCTTGGCCGCAGAACTGGTGGCATGCCTTGGAGCAGCTGAAGTTTCTAGTGAACATGCGCTATCATCCCTTGGAGCCCTTCTACTACATTGTGCACAACAAGTTCATGGACGAGGTGAAGCGTTGCAGCATGTACGAAGCGTTAATGCAATCAAGTGCTGCCGGCAGTATGATTAGGCCGTTGGCCAACAATTCGGCCATGCCGTGGGACACGGCCGAGGCCAAGGAGCTGTTTGCCATGCAGGTGAAGTCAACTAGAGATATAGAAGATTCGTCTGTTTCTAATATTGAAGATTCAACTCAATTGCAGAAAAAGCAAAGACAGCGAGAACAGCAGCAGCAGAAGGAACAGCAGAAGGAACAGCAGAAGGAACAGCAGCAGCAACAGCAGCAACAGCAGCAGCAACAGCAGCAGAAGGAACAGCAGCAAGTAAAGAAGACACTGCCCACGCCCCAGCAGCTGGCTATACAGCACCCGGCGATGACTAAAGTGTGCACGGCCAGCCAGAGTTTGCCCAGCATCGATGCGTTTCAGCTGACCCGCCTGATGCTCTGTTATCCGCATACCTACAGTAAATCCAGCACCATAGAGAAGCGAAGAGCCTGGCTGAAGGTTGCCCATGAGCTAAAAGCCTCAGGTAAGCGAGCTCTCTCGATATATATATATCGATATATATAAATTGATCTGATGTTGCAGTGACCGAGTGCCGACTGAGCCTGCAGCATGCGCTGCGCGAGATGCGGCTGATAAAGCTGGGCGATCCGAAATATCGCTGCCTGATGTCGCATAAGTATTATCGCCATTTGGACGAGATTTACAAGCAGGTAAAGGCGGGCGGTCCGCTGATGACGACGCCGATACCAAAGACCATAAACCGAATTGTATTGGAGTCCACCGACACAGTATATCCGGCGCGCTATTTGCCCGAGATCAATATGGCTGTGTGCAAGCCCAGTCTGGTGGTCAAGAATTGGGCATATGCGGCCATCAATTTGCCGTACGCGAATCAGAGCTCATTGCGCACACGTCTGAAGCAAATCTTTGAAAAATATGCCAAATTGGCGGGCATCAAGTGGCCAGTCCAGTGCAGCAATGGTGGACCAAAGCTCCGGCCAAAGCGGCAGAGCGTGCAGCAGGAGAAGGAGCAGGAGGAGAGGTCGCTGCAAGAGCAGCCCAAGCCGAAACGACCTAGGTTGGAGTGAAACATATAGACTTTACTATTAATGCTAAGCATAGTTATATAAGATATGTATGTGAATATCAAATTTTGGGCATCATGTTCCAGCCGTTATTGGAATACAATCTCCGCTCAAACTGACAAACTATCAGGCATCACAAAAGCCACTTGCAACCTCTGTGAAATATAGACGTATTTTAAATATGGAATATTGTTGACGAGAGCAGATATCAAATGTATGCATAGATACATATAGAAAAAGATATTGATATATATATATATATACATATAGAGAAAGAGAGAGTGAGAAAACTATTATGAATTTATTTACAGTTGCAAATTTGAAATGACTTATTAAATTTTTCTAAGTATGTATTATTAATTACGAGTGAAGATATTGAATAAGTATTTACAAATATTTTGATAGATATAGAGAGAGAGATTATGAATTGATTTACAGTTTAAAATTGGAATGATTCATTATTATTATTATTATTATTATTTTTTTTTTTTGAAACTTACTATTTGATTACAATGAAATATTTAATGTGAAATAAACGGTAAATGTTTTTATGACATAGTTTTTTGTTGATTCGATGTCGTTGATGGTCGACTTTAACGACCTTTGGGGGCGGGGCACATCAAAGTAAGCCCAAACAAATTGTTGCCGTACAATTGCCCAAATATGACAAGGGCGGGTTTGCCCTCATAGTGTGCGTGTGCGTGTGCATGTGTGTGTGTGTGTCTGTGTGTGTCCAGCTTAACTAAATGTGCGACTAGCAATTGCAAAGCCTTAACAACATGCCATAACTTGAGCTTAGCAGCGGAATTTTGTTTCTCTAGCGACTGCAGTCAGGTCCCAAATGGAAAGTAATCCATGGATTCGATTTCTTTACAAATGTGTGTTGAACGTCATGACCGTGCGTTGGGCAAAGCCCTCTCAGGAATTCGATATACTCCTCCTGCTGTATACGAAATGGACTACTACAGTCTGTGCTCCACTATTTCTGTGGAGTTATGGCTCAGTGAGTTTCAGTGTTCTTCGACAAATTTTCGAGTCCTCACATGACTCTTTGGTACATTCACATCGTCTTTACGATATATCGCATCGTCTATATATATATGTATGTATATGTTTAAGTGGAACAAGAATATTATAATAATATTATATATTATAATATATATTTATAATAATAATTTATTTATATATATTAATTTTGCATACTTTTTTTTTTGGCTATACAATTATATTTTTTAATTTATTCCAAGTTTGACTCTAGCTTTGTTAATAACTTTTTCTTAAATGAATAAATTAATAAAGCAACTGCGCTTTTAGTTCTTGCTTAATGAAAGATAATATATATAAATGGCTTTTAGAAGATGATGGTCATCTTAGGATATGTTATATCCTTCAAGTCTGCTGTAGATATGATATGAGTGATATTTCTGGTCTTCTAATATATCGAGTACTATTAAAATATTATTGTATATTAAATATACAGATATACATTAAAGTATGTTTCGGTATTCAAGCTATGGTCCACGCAGCTTTCTATAAGTTTCTCCTCCCCTGGGTATTTCCTAGTGGATCTCCTCTGACTAGAGCACACTTAGAGTATCTTCTAGTCGGGCAATCCCGATTAGAGCACCCTTTCTTGTTTACTTTCAGTTTCGTTTGATGAACTTTACTTTCCTTCCAAACTCCAAGTTCTACTCGTCTCTTTCTTACCATTTGCCTCCTCTGATCTGTTTGGGCCTCTCGAGCTATCTTCTACCATATAAGCTAGCCCAAATAAAAATGCAAATAGTTGCATTTGTAAGTGAGATATTAAGCTCGTGGCTAATGACCCCCGGAGATACTTTCGCCCAGCTGCGCATCAAGACACATCAAATTAACATTCTAATGTGCAGCGCTTAAGCTAAGCGACTGGTCGAGATACCGCTTCCATCTCAGTGCCCTCGGTGCCCTTCGTTCCCTCAGTTCCCTCAGTTTCCTTAGTTACTTCGGTCGTCACCTTTAAGGTCCATTGCACATCATCATGCGGAGCAGCATGGCAAATAATGTTTGCTCCCGGTGATTAACGCAATTAAACAGGTGCTCAAAATGATGTTTCCAGTGGATTAGCCAGCGACAAGGACACGAACGACTGGCGCGTTGAGGATATTTGAGGATAACTGCTCTCGCTCGCACGCCCGCTAATAAGCGCCACATTAGCAGCATGCGCCGCTTCCTCGCAGTCACAGTCCCCCCATCACGGCCTCAGCCTCAGCCACATTCACATTCACATCCCCCAGCCAACGCCACATTCGCATTAATTCAATGTGGATTTTCAGCATCAGCCAGCATCCATTACATGGAGGGTGCCACAGCCAATTGGAATGGGCATAAGGCGTGGATAGTAGAGGAGGCTGGGGCTGGGGCTGGGCCTGGGCCTGGGCATTGGGTCGGGGGTCGATTGTCCGCGACGTCTGACGTTAAAATTCCATTAGCCAAACAATGGACTACAGTTAGAGGATGCTGCCACCGCTGCTCTAAACTTGCTGTCCAATAGCTGCGCCCTTTTATGATTTGTAGGTGTTGCTGCCGTGTGATAATACCTGTAATTATACCGCCTCTAGCCAGGAGATATCTAAGTGCTCAGCTCAGCGACTCAGCTGTGCAAAAGATGCTCGCGTTCCCAGCATCGTCAACTTTTCCACCAATTAAGCCAAGTTTCTTTTTGTTTTTTGTTTTGGGAAACATTTCCGTAACTAATTTCAAATGTAAACTGAACTTTTACACTTCGGACCATTAAGTAACGAGCGGAACAAAGGTGCTAAGCATATGCAGGCTCTATAAATTAATTTTTACATAGTAGTCTACTATTATAAGCTTTTTTATTTGCATTTTAAATTTTATATTTTATATTAGTTTTATATTTGATATTTGATATATTATATCTTATATTTTATATTTAACATTTTATATATTTTATTTTATATATTGTTTTTTATATTTTATATTTTATATTTTATATTTTATATTTTATGTTTTATATTTTGTATTTTGTATTTTATATTTTATATTTTATATTTTATATTTTATATTTTATATTTT